CAGCGATGTCTTTCAGGTGCGAACTTTCTCTTTTAACAAATCTCTTAAATGCTGTTTGCGTGTGTGTACGTGTCTTTGTTGGCAAATTAACACACACATTCAGGGGCATTCGTGAGCCTACACAAACATATACACAGTGGGCGCAAACAAAGGACCTCGCCGCCTACCGCCACGCCCACCTTTCTATATGCGGGCGGTGTATTTATTTGCGCCTTTGAGTGGTTTACGCCCAACTGCCTGCCAGCTATAGCTATCCTACCGGCACATCCACATCCCCATCAACATCCACATCCTTTCACATGTCACTCGCCAGTTTTCATGGCTTTTTTATGCGCCTGCAAATATATTTGCTTTCACTTTACACTTTTGCAAACAGTTTTTTAAACAACTTTGGTGGCGAACAAGCTGAATGGAAAGGGTACATATTTATGAGTTTAATTGGAGACTCGCTATTCATCGCTTCTCTCTTCTGTGAATAATAAAAGCCACTGGCTAAGGTTAAAGAAATCTTTTGTAGATCATATGGGATTTTAGGAAATCTCTGAAAAAAAAGTCATGTGGACCTTGTGGCAAGTAAAGTTTAAGTTTTCCATATATTTATTACTGAAATTATATAAATGTTTACTGAAATCCATCTTTATTATTAGTTTCAAAGATTGCCTTTCATGTAATTACATATTTTGCTAATTGGCTATAAAATATCCTTTGTTTCCTTTTCTTATCCTTTAATGAAGGCAATTTTTTCCCCACAGACAGGTTGCTAAGCTAATTAAAAGAGTTTTAAGTTGATTGACGCTGTCTTGTGAATAATCTTCAAAAAGTATGCATTCTTTTTCGAGTAGTTATTTTACCCCGACATCTGGCTCGCCATCTGGTTATCATAAACAATGGATGGAAATTTTTCACAAATACTTGTTTTCATTTGGTTATTGCTAGCCAGTTTTGCTAGACAAATAAAACTTTTTACCCATCTAGTTTAAAATCAATAAACAATGCGGCCATTTTAACATATTTTCGGAATATTATGCAATGTAAATAGGGCAATGTTCGGCGCAAAACTTTGAAATAAAAAAGGGAGAACAGAAAAAAAAAATAAATTATTGTAAAATAAAACAAAACTAAACAACAATCAACTTTTTCGAACAGACTGTGCACTCGGCGCTTTTAGCTTGTTTTTCAGCTTTTCCAACACACCTGTTACCACAACACCAACAATACAACACCTTGCCTCAAGTTTTTCTTTTGCATTGCAGTTTTTGCCGAGTTTTCGAGGTTTGTTTGCTTGTCAATGCAAAATGGCAGAAGGGAAAAACAAGAAACGACTGTACTTGATAATGCTCGCCGGAACTGTATAATGAAATCAAATTGAAAAATAATTTGCATTTTATATAATAAAGTTTTTGTGTTGTTCGGAAAATGGTCGAAACGAAGTGAAGGTTCTTCTTTGCTTTCTGAATTGTTTTTATTTCTATAACTTTTGACTTATGCGTATAAATTATAAATATTTTTTGTTAGTCTTGTAATGAGAAGGATATTTTTTTGGTTAAAGATTTGTAATTTAATTTATTAAAATTACACTTATTTTGCCATAAAATAAAATTGTTTTCTTAATGATCACCTAATAACCTAATTAAGGCTTATTTACTGGTAGACGATAAAACCCTTAAGTCGCCATAAGCATGCCAATTTTGATGTGAGATGTTATATGCCGAGTGCTGCCACTTAAACTTGACATGAGCAAAACACTAACATAACAAGAAGATGGCTTGCATGTCCTTTCACATGAACAGCTCATAAAAATGCGATGCGAGATGACAACACTTTTGTGCTTTATGTGTTAACCGAGTCGAGGATTCCCTCCTAAGCGAATTCCACCCATCCAGAGCTCCCTCTTCTCACCTGTTCAGGTGTTCAGGTTTCATGCCTGCAGCGCTACCCGGAGTCCTTTCTGCCCCCTCAACTTTCTCGTCCGAAACAAACGAGATATATATGATATATGGCATGTGTGACGGGGATTCCCCCCTTTCTCGTTTGAATGGGATGTGTTAATTACAGAAAAATTGCGAGAATTTGTATTATTTACTTTGCTATCAGCACTGAAGCTGCTGAGCTTTTCTTTGTTCGCCTCTTGTTGCGTGTCGCCTGTATAATTGCAGGTGTGTCAGTGAAGGATGTTGTCAAGGAAATCTCAGCCGGTTAAACATTTTTGCATTAGGGCTATGATTTCGTGTGAGTGAGCTGACTGATGCGTGTTAATACAAAATGCCTTTGCTTCAATAAAGGAAGAATGTTTTTAAAATTAAGTTAAGTACCTATAATTAGGTATTTACTTTAAATTTACTTGAAATAAATTTTAAACAATTTATACTTTTAAATCATTTTGCATTTTAGGAATCTTAATAATAAGGAAATAATTATTTTGTAATTACTATTACGAAACAAACCCATTTTTTATTTATTTAAGATTATGTACCTACCAGTAAATAATATTTATGACGTGCAGATAATATTTTTGAAAATGCTTTCCACCGCGCTTAGCAATTATTTGCCCATCTCAATAGCCGGTTTGAATCAAGGTTTTCTATCATCCATTTTGGCCCTTCGGCATTCTTCTTTGGCATTCCATTTTAATTGTCTTTGGCGATTTGGCCAAGGCTTTTGTATGTGTGTGTGCGTGTATGAGTATTTGCGGCATTGTCCTTCCGATTCCGATTCTTGTTCTTGGTACTCGGGTCCTTGGCTCTGTTGTTATTGCATTCCTTTGCTTTGGTTTTTCGCAGCGCGTAAATAAATTTCATATCATGACATTTATTACTGACCCTTAAGCCCCCACCGCCACCCAAGCCACCCAATCCGCCATCCGCAATCCAAAACCCACAAGCCCGATACATGTGGGCCTGGAGATTACCAACAGTTTTCCCCTCTCTCCGTCAGTTTTTCCCATTCCCAACGGTTTCCCAATGGCTTTTTGCACAGCCGCAGCGGTTACAATTTTCATTTAAGATTTGTTTTCGCTTTTTTAGTTGTTTTTTTCTGTTTTCTCTTTTTTTGTGTCAGTTCCTCTTTGGCCTTACACACACACACTCGTACATTTGATTTATTTTAGCACTCAGGGGGGTGGGGCTGTGGGCGGAGGGGAAGTTGGTCAGGTTAAAGGGCGAACAATGACGAGAAATGCAAAACAAATGCAAAGGAAATGAACGAGGCCTGAAATGAATGCGCAATGAATGGCCCAAACGAATGAAAAGTGTGTGGAGATGAAGACAAAGATTAAATGTAAGTGGACGTCGCACAGAAACAATTGTAGTTAATTTACGCGTAGCGTAGAGAGAAATGCATAACAAATTAATGAGAATTCCAGCGTAAATAAAAGCACAGCGAGAATATATTGTACAAAAGAATTTTTGATTTTACTATAAATTACTTTCAATAAATTTGGGCTAAGCCAAGTTAGGATACGAAATTATAAAACATTTTCCCTCTTGAAAAATAAATATTTTCAAAGCAAAGAAAATAAAATATTTAATTTCAATTAAAAAATTATTAACAATAAAGACTATTTTCATAAGATAAAGATTTGTCTAAAAATCTGCAATATTGTCTAAAAGTAGGGAGTGTATAGGGAGTATTTAAAATATATTGTGGCATCCTTTTAGGCACCTTAAACAAAGATTTAAAAACCTTGTGTGGTTTCATTCTAATGATCAGTTTTATTCGACGATCGCATTACTTTGTTCAGTGCAGGGAAAGTACTCAAGACCCGGTCCTTGCTTTAGGGCCTTGGACCTCCTTTGTCCTCTCGAGTATCCTCTCTTTCAAAGTTTACTTGACTGTGAAATAAGCGGACAACAAGAGATCTCCAGCCTGAATGGTAGGCAGTGAAAGGAATGAAAGCTGAAAGAAAAAACGAACGCATTGTCTTTGTCTTTTGCATAATTTATTTATATTTTCATTTTCATCGGGCGTAATTCGCGTTGTTAAAATGAGGGAGCGGCAGCAGGCAGATGCCTACATTTCCGGCTCAGCAAATAATTACAAGCTTAATAACAAATTTAATATTGCTCGGCCTCGAAGGCCGGTCATTTTATTTATTGTTTACCCTTTGTGCCGCCTTTTATCCTGGCACGTATACGTGTGTGTGTGTGAGCGGTCCTTATTTCGTGCCACCTTTAACTGTTTATATTCGCACACGCTCCTTGCCTTTTAATGAGCCAACAACAATGAGCATGTCCTGCGTCCTGCGACCCTTTTATTTGCTGGCCATTCGCTTACAGTCGCCGTAAGTCGCCATTGAAGCTACCAGCACACACACACAGTTATTTCGTCCTTTCGTCCTTATTTACACTTGTCACAACCCAAACTCCGGCAGTCGCAGAAGTTACATGCTCTTTGTCGCTCTTTAAGTCGTCTGAAGAGCTGTTGGCCTTGCAATTAGTTGAGGAGCATGTCAGGCATTCTTCTGCTTGTTCCGCCTTCTGCAGCGCCAATTTTGATGCGCCTCGGGGCCTCTTCAGAGTTGCTCACTTGAAGATGTTCCCGAGGAGCGTTACTTACTTAGATGCTCCGACTAATTGCCAAGTCAAGTTCTCGGCCAGTACAACGACAAGAAACAATTGTTTTGTATATGGAGTCGTATAAATTATGTAGGAAATATTTCAATGGCTTTAATTAAAATTTCCTGTAGGTTTCCTTGAGATATTTTAAATAAAAGGAAACTTAAATAGCAGAGCAAAAGGGGTTTCTGATGCTGAAACTATTTTAATTTAAATTTAAAAAAAACGAAAGAGTAAATATAAATTATTGGTAACTGATCAGAAAAGGCAATAAATCAAATTGGTTCATTAATTTTTAGTACGTGTTTTTGTACAATTTATTATAGTAGGTGTTCATATTTCAGTAAATATTTTGTTCCTCCTTAAAATGGTAAATTAAATAACATTTTTTTGACACTACCATACATGAACTGGGAAAAAAGAAAATTGTATTTGATTTAAAATAAACCTAACGCAAATTTTTCTGTAAAAATCCAAAGAATGGGTAAGATTCACTTTCTAATTAATTAACTGCTTCCTAACTGTTTTCTGCAGCTGCCAAAGGCAAGGAAAAGGAACATCAGCTGGATCCGCCGCTCTTCGTGACCTGTGACCTCGACCAGTTTCGTGATCCGAACAAGAAGAGGGCAGCCAACGATGCCTGCGAGGAGCTGGACAAGCTGGATGCCCAGGACGAGATCAGCGTGTCGAGCATCATCTCGGCCCTTTTGCAGCCGATCGAGCCCTCGGATGATCAATTCAAGGAATGCGACTGGGGCATCAACCCGAAGCAGTTCCTGCCCACCAAACAGGCGGTGATCTTCAAGGAGCAGCTGTTCATTTCGAAGCTGAGAAATACGAACTGCAAGTTGAACGAGAACCTGAAGATCTTCTTCGAGCGCGAACTGGAGCAGATTGGCCGGTTCTGTCTGAATGTGGAGGAGTCCTTCGATGGCTATGTGATCTTCAGCAGCAGCAAGATGAAGAAGGGCAAGGGGGTGGTGGAGTGTGGCCATCAGTTGAAGGGCAAATACGACGATAAGTTCCTGCTGATCTGCGAGAAGAGATCGGAGTTCGATCGTATTGACAATACGCGGGTGGAGAAGACCTTGGAGCTAAGGAATCATGCCGATCTGATGCTCACCGCCATTCGGGAGACGAGGATCAACGAGGAGGTGCAGCGCTTCAAAGCTCGAATTGATATCAAAGATCGCGATCATGTGTTTGTCCTGGATGGAGGGATAATGCTGCTAATGCGCCACCTGGTGGCCAATAACTTTGTGGGCCAATTCGAGTACTACACAATGAACCTTTATGGTCGCGTCCTTCGCTGCAATCTGGTTGTGTCCAAGGAGCGGAAGATAGTGCGAATCTTTTATCGCACCTACAAGAACGTCGTGCAGATCTTCACCCAGCAGTGCTTCAACGACGAGCTGCAGGATGTGGCCGAGACCTTCATGACCCCCGAGGGTCGCATTGTCCTGCATTACTGGCGGGGCTACAACTACCTCCTACACGCCGCCTGCATGCCGCCAAAGCGAAAGGAACCCATTCTTCCAAAACTGGAGCTGTGTTGGCGCCAAAACGAGCAGCTGGCCCGCAAATTTAGGGAACTCAAGGCCCTCAACTACGAGAATGCCACCAGCTATCTGAGCAGCAACTCGCAGCTGGCCGACTTTATGCAGGACTACGTCCTCAATCTGCTGCGATACAAGCCCACCAATGTCCTCGAGTTCTCCATCATGTTTTTCCAGAATATGGCCAAGTGAAATTAGGCTTTTTCCCTCTAAATTTATAGTTATCAAAGGGTACAACGTTACACAAAAAGATCTAAAGCTCTCTCGTATTTATATTATTGTACTTCTTGATGGTTTCAAAATAAAGTTAAAACAGAAATATTTAATATTTCTGAAAAGCTGGAAAATGTTTTAACAAATCTTATCTGTATAAAATGTATAATACAATAGAGCAACCGTTGCCAACAGCCCAAACATAACACCCCAGCAACCTTTTTTCCTTGTTTGCGACCTTCAAACAATCGTTCGAAATTTTCAGTTTTCAGTCTGTCCCCAAACACCAACCGAAACACATTCGTACTTGATTTACACTCCATCTGATTTTTGTTAATTTTACAAGTTATTTAAAAGTTAACCGACGATGAATTGCTTGGAGAAGAAGTCGCCGGAGGCGATTGCCGAGTGCAAGGGCAAGACCATCGAGCTGAATCCCGGATCAGCTTGTCCGGCTCCGCTGATTTGTCCCCTGCCAACGGAGCCGCCCTCCCACCGCCTGAAGAAGCCGCCGCAGCCCGCCCTCGTGGCCCTGACCCCTCACCCCGATGAGGCCGCGCAGCAGCACCTGGTGCAGAATATCATGGGTGCCGCCCATGAGCACCAGAAGCTACAGGGCGACCTTCAGGCGGGCGTCGACCAGCAGCAGATGCAAATGGCCGACATTCGGGCCGAGCAGTACAAACAATCGCAGAGGCCGGTGAAAATGGAGGAAGTGCAGTTTGCGGTGAGTCTTTATTAGATTTTAAAATATAGTAAGTACATTTTGGTGAAATTGGTTTCAAATTGGTTGCTGGAAACCATTCAGCAAAAAGATGGAACCACATTTATAAGAAATAAATTAAGTAGAGGAACGACACTGATACCAAATTCAAAAAAAATAGTACTTGTATGTATTTTGAAAGAATTCCCAAACGAGAGATTTAGAAATATAATTTTTTTAATATATTTTACATTAATTTGTGAATATTGAAATGATCCCGATTTTAATTGTCTGTGCATACAGAAATACTTAAAGATATTAAATATCTTTATATCAAGGTTAAAGTAAATACACTTAATTGAAAGACTCATTTAATAAGTCTATACTTTGCGAAGTAATATTTTAATGACCAATTCTTTTCTCTCAGCGTGCAATGGATCCAGAAGCTGATGACCTTCGAAATCCGCCATGCTATTTGCCCCAGCAAGGTGACGAATTGCCCCACAAGGACCAGTTGATGCCCATGGGTCCCATCGGGCCGTGGGCCTCGGGCAAAGTGGACTGGAGTCCCATGGCGGGTATTACAGGCACACGACCCGTTGTGGATCGCTACTCGATCACGCGATATAGTCCCAATGAGTGGCGAACAAGGAATCACGAGACGGTGCAGGTGGTCAACGGCAGTCTGGGCAGGGCGGATAAGTAGGGATGCAGTTAGAGATTAAAGCTCCATAACATATTTTCCTTTCCCAATCCACAGAAACCGCTTCAGTTCGACCACCGAGTTCCTGAGACTCTCGGCCCTGGTGGCCAAGTCGCAGAATGAGACCACCGACAAGCTGAGGATCCGTTCGCAGCTGATTGGCAAGTGGAAGAACACCCTGGAGAATGCCATCAAGGCAATGGCCGATGAGATTTCCACCATGGAGGTGGAGCGCATAAAGCTGAGGAAATCGATGGTGGTTCTCGGAGTTCCCGAGTCTATTGCCAAGGAGTGTATTGAAAAGAGGGCTACAAGGCCGGATACCGAATTGGTTCGCGATCAGGTGGAGGAGGAGCTGGTCAACGAGCTGGCCCTGATTGCCGAGATCCGACGGCTGTTGATGAAGACCCTCGATGACTTCAACACCCAGCAGGTGGAGAATCGCACGGCTCGGCAGCGACTCGAATACGATTGGAGTGACAAGAAGGAGGCGTATGAGATTGATACCCTGAACACGGGCCTGAACAATTGCTCTAGGACGATAATGTTTAGACCAGGAGCAGTAAGACAGCCACCGGAGCAGGCTTCGGAGAAGTACTGGGAGCACTTCAGCATGGAAACCCTGGACGATTGTGAGAAGTGTCGCCTAAGGTCGGTGACCCTGCGGAATACGCTGAACGCAACGATGATGAATGCGGCTCGGGATATTCGCACGCAGGCCGATGTCGTCGAGAAGGCTTTGACTTCCAGGATCAATTGCACCCAGGAGGCGGTGCAGCGGTTCGAGAATGACCTAAAGCAAATCCTGCAGGGCCTGGCCGATGTGGAGAACCGCATTGAGCAGATGAAGCGACGCATTGCCTCCTTCGACGCCTCCATGAAGGTGGCCCAAACGCGCATGGACAACCGCAGCTATCGGCCCAATGTGGAGAACTGCCGGGATTTGGCTCAGCAGGAGCTCATCGACGGAGTGCACACCATCCAGAGCAGCGTTTCGGCTCTGCTCCACGAACTGGAGGAGGCGGAGCGGGTCAAGACGGATCTGGTCAGCTCAAGGGCTCGGCTTGAACGGGAAATAATGCTAAAGAGGCGCAGCCTGTTCATCGATCGGGAGCGCTGCATGCTGATGCGATCGCATTATCCATCGGCGAATACTCTAAGTGGTTCCGCCACATCCTAAATGGACCCCCTTTTGGAGGTGTCTAAATTGTGGAGTGTTACGAATTTGACAGGGGATCTCTAAATTGAGTGTTTTAAATCAATTGAGGTTTTATAACCGCTGTCTGAATTTATCAAAATTTACAAGTGCTTAAATGTGTGAATAAAACATGTCATGTTGACATAACCAAAAATCTTTTGCTAATTGTATCCCAATAACGTCAATCTCTTTACATAATAATGTAATGGATAATGGATAGAGAAACAAAAAACAACGCTTTAGGAGTGCGAGAAGTTATGCTAGCAGTAAATCAACTGATTGTACTGCTGCCATTCCATGATTTGATTATAACTTTTTAATTAACGGTGCAATTTCAAAAATTTCTTCTACATTTCGATAACTTCCCTGCAGGAAAAATGCGAACTAGTCTGAAAAACAACTAGTTAAATAACTAATATAAAGCAACCGGAATTTGTCTGAATGCATTTGGACTACATAGGGTCTAGAAAATTTGTGCTAGTCGAAAAAATGATTAATACAAAACTAGTAAAAAATAAACTTGTCTCGGACTAGTACCTTTCGGACAAAAAAAAACCATAAAAATATTTAACTGGTAGAACAAATACATGTTAGGGTCTAGTTAAAAGGCAACTGGAATTTAACTAGTTGCAAATGAAACACATATGATCCAAAAATATAGCCTAGACGGTAAATGTCTTGGGGAAATTTAACAATAAACAAATCAAACACTCGAGGTCCTCGGTTCAATCCCCAGTCTCTGTACATTTTTTTTTGTTTTTTCTTTGCTAGGTGATGCTTTAGTTTTATTTTAAACTTTGTTTAATCTGTCCGAGGCAATATATATGTGAAAAATCACTGTTTTTGAATTATGTCACACTAAAATTCATAAACCTTGTTAGGGCAATACAAAATGTGATGCGTGTATGGCTCAATCAGTTAGTGTGTCTACAAATCCAAAGGTCCCGGGTTCAAGTCCTAGAGAGGGCGACTTGCCTCAAAAAAAGTAAGTTTGTTTTAATTCCATTTAATTATCATTTACTGTACCGCGCCCATTAATTGGATACTAAATTAGGATACTCAAGTTAGGCATCGTCAAGTACTAGTGAAATTCAATCACTTGATGGTTTAGAGATTATTTTTAATTTTTTTGTGAAAATATTTTTTTGAGTGTAGTTTAACAGCTGTAACTATAAATTGGTTAACAGTCACTAGTGCAAAACTAGTAGCAAATGGACTAGTTGTTTCCGACGACAAGCATATGAAAAATGGACCACTTCGTTACAAGGAAATGGACATAACTTGAACTAGTTAACCTTCTTGACCCAACTAGTATTTTAATAGTCCAAAACTGATTCCGTTTCCTGCAGGGTTATAATAAGCATACCGAAATTGCATTTACCTTTTTAAAAAATCTGTAAAGATGTAAATGTTAAAATAAGCCACAGATTAAAATAGAAATTAATTCTTATCATTTAACTCACATAATGCAAACAAATAATTTATTCTACCTATATTTATATTCATTCTTATCTTATGGCTTACACTTAAGCCTAATTTAGAATTGCTACTTATTTTTTGCGCCTTGGGTGTTTGGGGGGCCTTTTAAAACAATGCCATTCAAGCATCTAATTTGCGGATTTCGGCATTAGCCCCGGAGGTCTTAAGTTCTTTTTAATAAATGCAATAAAATGCCATTAGAGGGCAATCAGACACGTTTGGAAATCCATATAACTGAAAGAAATATGTTGCCAACTTCCCGGCACACACCCCACACACACACACGTGAGTGTGATGTGATGTTGGCCCAAGTACTTACCAAAACACGTTCAACAGCTAGAACAACACGTACTCAATTTAGAGATACACGCCCGGGAAATGGGCAAGGAGAAAGGGGAAAAGAGAAAGGGGAAAGCGGGCTGATATTGATACGGAGGTGGTTGAACATTCGTTAATGTTTGCCTTCCTTGGAGCGGCGCAAATATAGGGACAGTTTGGCCCGATCCCCGATTGCTAGGGGTGTTCGGAGTACACGGAATATACAGAATATACATGTGCAACGATTCGGTTGGGAAGCCAATAAATTACAAAGCGAAATGCGGATGGCGTGCTGGAATTTCGAGTTTCCAATTGAAAATGGAAAACGTTATGGCTCATTGAGGACATTTTCCGTTTTGCATTGTAGCTGCCATATTTGTCTACTACTTCTGAGCTGGTCAAAGGTCACAGCGATACACTAAAAAAAATAAGTAACTGCCAAGGAATGCGACATGTCTCCTGTCTGTCTTGAATTCTCTCCTGCGTTTGCCATCCTTCCGCATACGTGCAAAATACTCGTCGGCCAAGATTTATTGCCCTAGAACGTGTTGTTGCTCATGTTGGCCAAAGCTGCCACTTCCAAAGGGTTAAGGGGTTGAGGAAAACATTCCCAAATGGATTCCCAAGAGGTTTTCCTTTTAATAAGGTCAAGGACAGTCGATGATGGATCGGTTGCATTTTAATTGTTGAGCAAATAAGCAAGATTTTCTCATCAGTGTTTAGTTGTATAGTGAACTTTACAGAACATATCTAAAATATTATTTAAATGCATGAATATATGGAAGTAATTCGTTTATCTTAATTCCTTTTATCTTTAAACGACGATTTTGTTTACGAATTAATATTGTGACTCACACAACTCCTCAATAATTTTGTCGAGTGGAATTTGCTAAAATTTGATATTTTCTATCCACCCAAGTCCATTTTCTGTTATTAATTACAGATATAAAGTTTTCTTTGTCTACCCGAAAGTTGTCTTCTTCTTCAGAATCACTTAAAACAAATTCTAACTGCTGTGTTTCACCACAAGTAATTCGAACTTTAAATTTGCAACGCAGAGAAATTTGCAAGACAAGTCCATTACCACAAAGCCAGTCTCTTGGGCATCAAACAGCCATTACTCAAATTTTCCACTCTCCCTCAGCCGGAGGCCGTCTTAAAAAGGAAATATCGCTTTTCTTATGTTTGCTGTATGCTGTTAATATTTCGTAATGCCGGTAAAAATCACAGCGTGTGGTTATCGCAGTCAACTAAAAAAAAGAGGAAAAAGGCTAGTAAAAAGAAGCATTGCATACATTTTGGCGCTGGAGCGCGCGCTTCGCAAAAATGGGCGACTGTTTTTGTTCTGGCACCATGTGGCTAAGAAAAAATCTGTTGCATACTGTTTGCGGTGAAACGCAAAAAATGTTATATTTCTGTGCTGCGCCCCGCTGTGAAACTGCGGAAAAGAAATCTGAAAATGTCCCAAAAAAACGAAAAAAAATAGTCAACGTGAGGCTTTAAAAAATTGTTTGAAATTTTTGAGCGTACATTTTCATTCTATGGGCCGTTTAAAGTTGAATGCCACTGCCACTGCCATTCGAGGTGAAAAAGTTTTCGTGAAACTATTCCCAGTTGGAGATGTAAAGTTGAATGCCACACCTTCGACCCTGGGAGGCCATAATTTAACTTCAACGCAGCAAGACATGCAATTTAATTTTAACAAAACCTGACATTATCACACCAGCCAACAACGGGCTGCCTAGCTCCATAGCTCCACATCCACACACACAAGGAGTTTCTGGGACAGCGCAGAAGGAGTCGAGCGGTGGCGGCAACACAAAGTTAGTAACATAATAAGTAGCAATTTTCGGTTTCCGCTTTCCGGGCCAAGCGGCAGCAGCGTCAGTGGCTGCAACCTACCATAAAAATACATAAAATGGCTCCGGCTAAAAGAAAGCCCAGAGAGCAGAGCGAAAAACCCATCCGCACACACTCGGTACCCTCTGGTGCCCTCCCCCCAGCATCAACATCCCCTCCAGATTCTAGATTCCAGGGCAAGAGCCAAAGGGAATGCCAGCCGGATTCGGAATCGGTATAGAGGGGTAGGGGGGACCGGGCCTCGTCTCGTTGCCAAGAAAGTATACTAACTGCATGCGGAGTAAATTGGTATTTTATAGTTGCAGCCTGCAACTGCTGCCCGAGCTGAGCTGCTCACAGGTGCCAGCAGCTGCTGCTCGCTGAAACTGAGATGTAGACGCTGTTCTTGCCACGGGATTCCGGTAAACACTTTCTCTAAAAGGTGAAAGTTCAGTTCTGAAATACATTTTATGAGCCTTATGTAATGGCAATAAAATACAATTAAATAAACAAGTAAAGTTACTCATCACTGAAGATAAAATATAAATTAACTTTTAAGAAAAGTCATGTTTTCATATTCAATTGTTTGCTTCCAGAAAAATATTTTATTACCTACATTTTAAATTTCTTTTAAATTTAATCTCGTTATAATGGATAGTCCATTGCTATTTAAAATCAATAATATATATTAACAAATTAAAATGATATATAAAGATGATGAAGATACGATTAAGAAGAATAAACCCATTGATTTAAATGACTTAAGTATTATATTTTATTTAAATATATTTTGTTTATGGAATATGTTGCCAAAAAAAAATTCGACCTTAATTTTCCCCATTTCTGGGATTTTATCAACGACCTATGTACCCGCACCGAAAGTTGCATTTGAGAGTCCCTTACCAAGAACACACCCCGTGGATAATCCCGGGAAATGAAATGCCGCTGACTTCGCAAAGGCAGCTAAATTAGTTGCCGGCCACCTTCCGCATTCATGCCAAAGTCACTCAAAGCGACGACATCGGCGACAACGACGACGATGATGATGATGATGATGGTGGAGGAGGATGATGAAGGAGGAAGGACGAAGGCGGGGCAGGACAACAAAGGTTGCCGGGGCTCGTTAGCATTTTACAACACTGGCATCGGCTGCAGCACGTAGCTCCTAAGATGATTTGTGACCAGCTGCAACTTTTTGTTGCCGCCTCCGGCAGCCATTTTTGATATTATTTCAGAGCTGCCTCGGCACTTCCACTTCCGTTTCCGCCCTGCTTGCGCTGCATGTAAATGGGTTGAATGGCGCTCCCTCTCCCTTTTTTTTTCTTCTCTGCGATCGCTTATCGGGCGTAGAAGCAGTGCAAGGATGCAAGGATACAGGGTTGCAGGAGTACAGAGCTGCGTGTGCGAGGGAGCGAATTGAAGTTAATGTGGGCGACTGATGATTTTATCTGGTGCTGTTGACTTGTTGACTTTGCGGGTTAACTGCTGCACTGTTTATGACTTCATTATGCTAATAAA